AAAAAAAAAACGTTTCGAATTTTTTTTTTGATTGACAGAACAAGTGAAAAAATCTAACCTTTCACTTTTACTTCATTGCTTCCATGATTTAGATGACGTGTCAAAAATACGATCTTTGATCAGCGAAGGAATGAATATGAGTAATAAAATTGATAATGGACAAACTGCAATGCATATAGCCGCTGAAGAGGGTAACAAATTTCTATGAATTATGTTAATTTATCATTCAATCAATTTTTTTCCTTTGCCTATTGCCTATGCCAAAATGGTAGAGTTGTTGCTTGATGGTTTGATAAACATGAACATTGTTGCTGTATCATTCACCTTAAAAGTTTTGTCGTAGGCAACATCGGTATGATAAAATTATTGCTTGATGATGGTGTGAGCCCGAACATTGTAGATGGTCATTTTTCCACACCGTTTCACGTTACAGCACAGACAGGTAATTTGAATTCTTTATTCAATCCACAACCAATTTTGATCCAATTACATTTGCAGGACGTGAGGATATAGCTCAAATCCTCATTGAAAGCGGTGCCAAAATCAATGCTCGGAACATACAAGCGTGGACGCCATTGCACTATGCAGCTTTGTGGGGTAATTTGTATGAAATTTTACTATAACCAAATCATTTGACTTTTATCCGTTCAAACACTAGGACACGCAAAGTTCATTGAACTACTTATGTCATGTGGCGCTGATGTAGATGTTTATGATTTGAATGGATGTACACCACTCCACATTGCAGCTTTGAATGGTAAATGAACGCTTTGCTTTAACTCAAAAACCTTTTTGTGATCAAGATATTGTGTTTTCAATTCAGGTAAGGTGGATGCCGTCCAGCGTCTCATTGAATTTGGTGCTTACATCTTTGCCAATGATAACAAAGGGTTAACGCCATATGACTATGCAAGATTGAGTAGTAAGTTGACCCTGGTAGCTGAACTCTTAATTTAATTTAAAACTCAATCAATTAACTTTAATCCATAAATGAAAATCAGGTATAAACTATTCGCAAATGTTGGCAATACTGGAAGAACATGAAATGGAACTCCTAGGTAATTACACAAAAGTGCGAAATTAGTCTATCATAATGATTTTCATCACATTGGCATCATCAAGATGTCGTCTCGACCCTAGGAGACGATATTGTAAAAAGTAAAACGCACTTGAAATGAAAATGAAAGTGAATATGTTTTTGGTTGTTCCTCACTCTAATTTGTGAAATAATTGACTAAACGATGCAAATTTCCATGCTAAATAATTACCTTCTGTTTATTTCTTAGCTAAATTATTGGTTTTAGTACTGCTGTTTGGTTTTATGACTGCATCTCTGCTGGTTGTATTCAATCAAATTTATACCTCACTTCAGTTTTACAATCGACTGCGTAAAGGAGATTCGATCGGTCATGGCCATTTTAGTGATGTATATAAGGGAGAACTTTTGCCAATAATTCCATGTTTCAAAACGAAAAGAGTTGCAATAAAATCGGTCAAGAACTGCAATGAAACTGACTCAAAACTAACGGTATGTTTTGTTTAGTATTCGCTTATTGACTTTGATATCTGTCGTTCGTTTATTGATGACATCTGTATATTGATATCTGTCGAATAGGGAACAACTGAACTATTGGCAGAGATAAATATTGTAAAACGTTTGCCCAAACATCCTAATGTGGTTCGTTTTATTGGGGCAGTCACTAAGAACCCTCTCGAAGGTAAATTTGAACACATATGAAACTCCAAACCATTGAAGCAATTAAATCTTTGATTTTCATCAGGCGAAATAAAGATCGTTTACGAGTTTTGCCCATACGGTGATCTCAAAAGTTTTTTGAAGAAAAATAGACAATCTGCGGTCGATCAGAAGCAGACAACATCGAGCCAATGTGGGTCAAAGGCTAATGCAACAGGAATCTATGGAGCTAAAGCTGAACGAATTGATGAAGAAGAAGGTACGCTTTGTGAACAACATTATTGGTAAGTTGTGTGAATTTTTTCTAAAATTGTTTTCATTTCTCGCTAAAAAAGGTTCACCTCTAACACCCACCTATCCATTTACAACAACGGATCTACTCAATTGGTCCGCCCAAGTGGCAAAAGGATTACAGTTTTTGGCTTCAAATGATCCTTCTATCATACACCGTGATCTAGCTGCTCGAAATATCTTACTTTGTGAAAATAAAGTGGTGAAAATTGGTGATTTCGGTCTGTCACGGAGACTGAACGGGAGTTATGTTTATGTAAAAACATCATGGGTAAGAATGACAATGAACGACAAATGGTCTTTGAATAAAAATTGACTATCAAAGGATTTTTTCAATTTATAGGCTCCAGACCCACTCCGATGGATGGCCATTGAATCACTGCCAGACGAAGATGAACCGAAATTCAGCGTAAAATCGGATGTTTGGTCGTTTGGTGTTGTACTTTGGGAGTTGTTTTCAGAAGGAGACGATCCATATTACATCTCGAAAGAAGACCTGTCAGAAGGCGTCCGATTGAAAAGACCAAAAAAAGCTACGAAAGAAATGTGAGAATCGAACAGTGTACACTTCATGAGCTGAGAATTTGTTACGAAAACGTCGAATAATAATGATTTCAATGTTCGCAAATAGGTATGATCTTATGATGTCTTGTTGGGAGGAAAATCCAGAGGATCGTCCATCGTTTGATAAGTTAGAGGAAATGCTTTCGCAAATTTATCTGAATGCTTTGAATGGTGATGGAGACAATGATAAGGATAAAAATGAAGACATCCTAAGGAGTGTGAGAGTAGATGATCTGAAGTTCAATGATAGAGCAAGCCTGATTTCAGATGCAACAGAGGATGATTCGCCTTCATAGTCAGTACCAAAAGCTTTTTTTGCTTCCATTGCACGCTTGTACGGATTTTCGATGTAAGGCTAAGCAAAGCATTTTAGTTTTTTGAGCCGTGATAATAGTAAAAGTGTAGTTCTCTCTTTGCGTTCGATGGATTCAAGTTCTCTCTTTTCAGTGAACATACATATATTCACATTTCACTTTTGAAAACATTTCGCTATTATTCTAAATGTTTCGTATGAAGACTTTGGATGAAGAGGGGAATGTGCAAAAGTTTGTGAAATATTGAATTTTTCATTTAAATTTATAGTTTATTATAACAATTATAATTTGGATAAAAAGAATTATATTCGCAATCCAAACTTTCCTAAACCGTTGTCCCTACTTTTTATACGAAAAATTAAAGACGAAATTTATCTTTGAGTAAAAAAAATGTTTTTTAGTTTTTTCATCCATTTTATTTATTGAGCCCATTTAGGAAAAAAAACTCTTTATCGCTCTTTTATTTTCGTCGAAATTGAATAGATGTTTCGTAGAAAGATTCTTCCGGGTGAAAATGATTTACATTTCGATGAAATTGCAAATAGCCGCTGATTCGAGTTAAAGTCAGAAATGATAACATATATAGTATGCATTGTATACGTTATTAACATTTACGCACGATCAAACCGAATGACCGACCGTTTGCGTGACTCTTTGTCAGAAGCGATAACACAGATAGAATGCAATTTGACGAAACTATGAATAAAAACAAATACAAAATTAAAAACAATCCGAATTGACAGCTAATGGGTATTACTAGTCTGGCAATACCAGATGTTGATAGAGCGAATTATGTAAATATATACTAGATTATGACCGTAAAAAAAATAATGATGAAATTCGATTAGTGCAAACAACTCTCAATCATGATTTGAGTTTCGATTCAGATTTATTTCAATACATATTTGGACTTCGTCGAAATTGAATCGTTATTAGATTGGATCGCCACAATTGTAGTGTGAATGTAGTGTGATTTTTGTTGCAATTGATTGATTGTCAATTTATTATTCGTTCAAATTCAGTTTTTCACTTTAATTTTCTACGATTGTGATTATGATTTGTGTTACTTTTGTTTTTACATTATGATTGTTCGATGTCAGTAGATGATGATCGAGATAAGGGGTAAGTCATACTCTTGAAATTGTAATTCGGAGCAATTTCATCATTTTCAGCAATTTTTTTCTAGATTCCAAATATCGAAAAATAAAACGAATGAGCTAAAAAATGCTATCTGGCGGGGTAGGTTTTATGCAATAAATGCAGTTTGACAAAGAAGATCAATTTTAAAATAGCAAAACGAGTATTCTTTTCATATTTTTGGCCCCAAATGACATAACTTCTAAGGCAAACAATTTGCCACGATTTTGGTTAAAACATGCAAAAAAATAGCACGTTCATTTTCTCTGTCAATCAAATGAATAAATGTCATTTTTTGCTCCGTTATTTCCATGATTCAAACGATCTGTCAATAGTGAAATGTTTGATCAGCGAAGGAATGAATATGAGTATTCAATATTATTTTGGAGAAACTGCAATGCATTTAGCCGCCGAATGTGGTAACACATTTTTAATCAAATATTTGTATATAACATTAAATTCATTTTTTTTTTTTGCTTAGGCTCGGTCGATATCGTAGAATTGTTCCTTGATGATGGTGTAAATCCGAAAATTTTAGATAGCAGTAGGTCTACACCGCTTCAGCAGCAATGCGTGGTAATTCGATTCTTTCTTTAGCTAACCAATTGTTTAAATTTAATTCACTTGAACAATCCAGGACATGTGAAGGCAGTTGAAATCCTTGTTGAACGTGGCGCCAATCAATATTGAAGCTAAAGATTCTCGTGAATCGACATCACTTCACATTGCAGCTGAGTCTGGTAAATGGAGACTTGCTTTCAATCAGAAAAAGTCTCGTGATTTAGATATACTCCGTTTGCAATTCAGGTAAGGTGAATGTCGTTCAGCGCCTACTTGATTTCGGAGCCAACGTCGATGCTAGGGATAATGACGGGTTGACACCATATATGCGAGCAGATAGTTTGGGTAACTGAACTCTTACTTCAAATCAAAAGCAATCACTTGACTTATAATCACTGTCGCTTTTTAAATCAGGCTATGCGTATGACCCAGTTTTAAGAATACTTGATGAATATGCGTAGATGAAACTCGATCGGTATCTTAAGGAGCGTGAGAGTAGATGGACTGAAGTTTAATGATAGAGCAAGCCTTAATTCAGATGTAACGGAGGAAAGTGGCTCCAGTTCAGGCTATGATTCACTTCTTAATCAGTTCATCATTTCTATCGTAGCTTTACATAAAAGACAGAATAAAATCCACAATTTTAGTTAATTTCATAATTATTTAAACTAATAATACTTCCATTTGAAAAGAAAATTGTCGAACATTAGCTTTCATTGTCAACAACAAAATCGCATAAAAATGACATCATTCACAATAATCAAAAGAGAGCTCGACACTGCTTTTGAATTGAGTCAAATTTTGAGCCCATTTTCGATCTCAATGCTTTGCTAAAAGAAAACTAATTTGACGCTATCACACGCTATCAGGCGCTATCAAGTGTTTTTTCTTCTTGTTTTATACTCGAAACCATTTTTTATCAAGTCTGGTTAATAGGATCATAATGAAAAATGTTTCAGTTGCTAAAATAGACTTAATTCAGGCTGGGTTGACTTGTCTACTGTTGCGATAAGCATTCGACTATTGCCAATCAACTCGAATATAATACAGCTCGTTTCCCCTTTATGTAATAATTTAGTCACTCGAGACGAATGAATGAAACGAATTCAAGAAAAACTCAAATCAGATGTTCTCGTTCTTTCTTCTCTTTTCGTTTTAATTCGTCTCTATTTGTAACCTTTTTTAATGATTAAATTTGATCTTTTTCTTCACACAATTCTGACCTTATTCCAAGATTCAGTGTTTGAATCAATCTATGAGCAAGCACACAATTCAAAAGACAACCAAATGATTCGTTTTTTTTTTTTCAATTTTATTTTCGTATTTTACATTTTCATTCTTTTTTGTGTGAGTGTGAATCCAAAGCGAACGGATTAGACGGCACTTCATTGGGCTGCAAATGCACTGACAACAAATTCCATGCCACTTGATGAAAAAAATTCAAAGCAATTTACACCATGGAAGAATATTTGATTGTACAAATCTTTTTTTGCAGCCCAATGAAGCACGGTCTACTCGTCAATCGGTCTAAAATTCACATTCACATATTACATCTTGAAAGTAATGAAAAAAATAAGCTGGATACTCTTTCTTTTAACTCATGGTTTTTGCAAAAGATTACATTTCCTCCACACTTTGTGTGTGAATAAACAACAAGAAAAAAACTGGTACACAACTGATGCTTTGAGAGCATACTTTGAAGATATTACTCATGAAATGACAGCGATGGAAATGATTTGATTCGAAAGTGACGAGAAAAAAAAGAAAACTCTATCATGACGAAATCTCATTTGGGATATGGTGATTGATGGTCCGAGGCTGGAACTTCAATATGAGATGAAATCCGTTTCTCGGGCCCTCACGTTCACACTTTTCGGCGTTGTGATGACCAATTTTTTGGCTGTCATATGATGAATTGAAAAGTTCTCCCTCTTCAACTCGCGGCATTCATTTCGATTCTTCTAAAAGGAAAGAAAAAATATTTCAATTTTTTGTATATTGAGATTTTCAATGATTACATAACTAATTTTGAAAAAGAAAGTACATTTTTCAATGAAAAAGTAAAGTAAAGATCTTAAACTCACCCAAAATTACTCTAGTCCGATCGAAAATGATTTTTTAATTAAAATGTAACTAAAATGATATGTTTGTAACATTCTAGTAACCTTTGTTACTATGATGCCCTTGCACATAAAAAGTGCTGTGCACTGAGATCACTTCGAATGTGCGACCATTTCCAAGAAGAAATGTTTTTCAACTGAATGTTCCGAATTAAGCATATCAGCGACTGATGTCAATTGCCACATGAACACATCTATATCAAGTTCTTATGTAATGTATGAAGTCGGTTAAAAAAATGTAGATTAAAATATCTCCCGTTCCATATTATCCATGTTGAAACATCATTTCTTTCGTAATGGGAACCAACTATCAAATCAGTTTATGACACTTATTTATAAAAAAAATGGGGAAAGAATAGCCGGTAAACGAGCAATTGTTATCATCATTGTTGACCGAATATGAATCCAGACGACCGGCCGACTGCTCTCTTTTTTTTAAATCAAAGTAGAATGGAGGAGCAAAAGAAGTAAGCAACTATCGCGCAAAGTGAGAGTTGCTGTTGCTCGTGGCATGAGTGGCATGCGATGTGATTACAACACATATTTATGATGGTAGTGAATATAATTTGTCTCGAATATGCATACTTGAATATATACAGGCATGCCATTTGTCTAGGTTTTATCTGGTCGATGATGGTTCTACTTCAAGCATCGCTTGCTTTTGCACAATGTGGCAATAAGAATATAAGATATTCATGTATTTTGATGAACAAATAGAGAATTAGAAGAATGTGAACCAAACACAAAACAATGTGTTGCTCTGTGGCCCCGCTATGAAGTTGATTGCATTAACTCAGACATTATGATGACAAATGTCAGCGAGAGATGTATCACACAGAGATACATGTACAAATGTAGCACGATGTAGCGAAGCTTTTGTTTGCGTAAAAATTTACAAAAAATTATTTTCCATACATGAATTATGTACATCAAATTAAAGGTATTTCCTTCCTGTACACTTTGCTGATTTTCAAGATTTGGCCAGATAAATTGACTCTCGAACATAGCAAAACTTTTGTTCGCTAATTTAACGAACATTTTACCGTTCAAAACTTTCAGACGTCAATTTATAAATATTTTCTAATTTTTATATTTTTATTCATTTGATTTCGAAGTCAGTAAACTGTATATAAATTGATTGGAAAGAGAAAGAAAAAACCTTGTTTGAAAAATAATTTTTCATAGACTTTAGATAGAAAAGAATTAAGTAATAGCTGCGTTCGCTCAATCGTTCGTTGATATGCGTACGCTTTGTTGTTTTAATTAATTTTTTCCTGTAATTCTTGCCGTATTTTTGCATTTCTGGTTCTTTTTTACTTGTAAAAGTTCGACTTTTCGTTTGGCGCTAAATTGAACTCAGTCACTTGAGCTGATGATCAACCGAAAAGTGACTACCTGAGATTTTTTATGCCATGTGTGCGTACTTTACAAGTTTATTCATGTTCAAATCGATGAAACTTGCAATTTTGCATAATTTCAGTCGTTCTTTGGGTGTTATTTTGATTTTTCAATGCAAGCGAAAGGAAACGTTACGATTAGATGTTATTTCGGGATATTTTCACTAGTGCGCCCTTTCATAATCTGTATATTCAGTCTCCATAAGAAGCAATGTATTAAGCAATCATCTCTCAGATCGAACCTTCATGAACATATGAAAGCATTGAAATCGATGAAGAAGGCTTAGTTGCAGCCGCGGCCACATTTTAATATGAAAAGCAAAAGGGCAAAAAAACATCAAGGAAATATTCGTAGACACAATATAGTTACTAAAAACCATTTTTATTGATTGATGCCAGCGAAAAAAAAAGTCTTGTAAAACGTGGTCACAAGAAGTTTTGTTCACTAGCGTCTATCGTGGAACAAACAACTAAATGCAAATTAAATTCTTTTTAATCATGAATCATTTTACTAATATTATATTGTGTTTAGATCTAGAAAACTTTTTCATAAGATTACTTGGGTTAGTATATTTAAATTTATTTCGCTGATCAGCAGATTTGCTGTTTATATTTGAAAAAAAAAAAAACAAAAATACTATTTTTTCGTGAGAAAAATAAGAACATCATGCTGATATAAACTTATGAAAAAGATTTCTTCAGAAGGGTGATGTCATTCGAATTGAATGATTATTTGTTGCATTCCGTTCTATGCTATGGAAACCATACACACAGAAAACAGTACACAGGCGAATACGATAGACATGAATACCATCTATTGTGTTCGAATACAATAACACAGTGCCAAATTAAGTGATAGCACCATTTCGGGTGAAATGCCATTCAATTCACAATTAAAATAATTTACGCTGTCGAAGTAAAAAAAAAGATCTGTATATAAACGAAAAAACGAAAAAAAAAACAATTTATGATTTCTATGCGTCAACTTGAGTGGATCGTTTAATCATGTTGTCTGTGTAAGGCGGCGTGGCGTGGTGATTTGAATTTGAACAAAAAACATTTTGTATATGTATGTGGCACTTGCAAGTGAACAACGTAAATATTTCCAACCATGTGAAAAAAATCTGGCTGATTGGTTTTTTATGGACGATTTCCTTCTACAGCATCATTATCAGCAGCCATGTCATGGAATGAATCAAGTATATAGTGTATACAAATACCGTGTTGAATATTTGTAAACTTTCAGTAGGCGTATGGTTCTTGTTGTGCGTGAACGTATTTCAATCGATATTTTGTCGCTCCGATTGAATTTAATTCTTTAATAAATACTTCAATTGTAACAAAACACAGTATTACTTTTCCCTACACACCGTATCAAGGGAAAGTATAGGAATTGGTCCCGAAAACTTTTAAAGAGTAAATTTGAGTGCAAAATATAAGGAAATAAGTAAATCAAAAAAAAATTCCATACCTTTTTTACTTAACTTCGTTTAAATTTAGAAAAAGAAGAAAAAAATGGAAAAAAATAATGCACACACTTTTTGCGACTTTATGACCAATCCACAACATTATAATGTGGAAAGTGATGAGAGTGTTAAATACCAAATCGACAACAACATTCAATATTCACAAAACCTGACCACTGAAAATAAAGCAGCTGTAGAGGCGTTCAAAACTTTTTTTATCAAAAATTATCAGCAATTCAATCAATGCCAACAAAGAATTCAAGAATTGAATAATGTTCCAAGCACAACTGAGATTGAGGATCAAAAACGTGTTTTGATGGATGAAGCAAATTTCATTGGGTCGTGTATTATTCAACAAGGTGGCCGAATCTCAACCTCGATTCAAACCGTCAATAATTTGTTGAATGAAGCACAGCAAATTCTCATTGACAAACGATTGACCATGTGGAAATATTACCAAATCTTAGCCGGATTCGGCGATAAAAACATAAAACCCGAACCTGACTCGCACAACAAAAATCCAGAGCTTCAAAATGCACTTGATAACATTCAGACACAATTTCAAGGATTATTTAAATGTGCCTTGAGTGCAATGCGCATGTTAGACATTATTCGTAAATGTTATGGTCATTTGAATTATGTTGATGATTTGGTAGCGAACGCATTTGGTGATATTACAATTGTGCTAAAAAAATTGATTCAGTCGAGTTTTATCAAAGACCAACAACCACCTCAAGTTATAACTGAAGGCACAAGGTAAAATTCTCACCTTTTGAACGAATCATATCGATTTTAAAGTAATCAACAGACATATTTGACGACTAATTGAAACAAACTTTTGTTATTTTTTAAATGCTCAGATTTGAAGCCAGTGTTCGCGTTCTTTTGCCCAAATACATTGTTATCGCCCAAAATCCACCAGAGGTTAAAGTTTCGTTTTTATCGGGTGAGTTTTTCTTGTCGTCGATATTTTGAACATTTTTTTCAACAAAAAAAGAAAACATTTAGATAACATATTATTTGTTCCTAAGTGTTATCTCCTAATGTCGCTTTGGTAATTTTGATTTTGTGACTTACAATCCAAATAAAATTACTTGAAATGAGTTTGTGACCACTTTTTCCAATGAAAAGTCTTCACAAAATAGATATTGAGGCAGAAAAAAACAAACAATTTCAATTGTCTCATTCAAGTTTAAGTTAGAAATTAACTGACAAATCGTGGGTAAATGCGACAGAAGAAACTTTTATCAACATTTTCCATTTCTGAATTGAATAGAATCACAAACAAGACAACAACAACATCAACAACAACGTCCCAAAAATGCGAATTCGGGTAAAATCGATATGGATAAATGCTGTTTTAAAATCAGTTCATCGAACGATCGAACGCGTTTAGAATGCCACTTAAATAAAATGAAACTGACAAATATTAAAAGAAATTCCGAAAGAGGAACCAACAAATCTGTAATGGATGAAAAGTTTTGTCTGCTTTTCGAAACCGATCTACAAATGTTGGGACCTATCAACTCGTCAGTTCGTGTAAGTTTCATTACCGAATATGTCAGTTAACCAAATGAAAAGGAATTCGTTTTGAGTTTTGCTTATTCGTCTTTTCCTTTCGTTTCACTTTTTTCATTTTTTTCTGTTTTACGTCGTGTTTCAACAGGTGTGGACCATGTCAGTTCCGGTGACGGCTGCATCGAACGTATGTCAAAAGAGAGATGGTTTGGCTACCATCGCATGGGACAATGCATTCTTTGAAATTGGTCGAACTACATTTGCTGTTCCAACTAAAGTGCACTGGTATCATATGGAACAGGCGCTAAGCATGATTTTCTACCATCAAACTGGCTGCTATTTGACAGCACATCACTTGCAAAGCTTGTGTAAGTATCACTTAAGCCGATATTTTTACATTTCAAACCTTGAAAATTAACTGAAAATGGCACTTGCAGATGAAAAAGTGTTTGGCCCATCGCCAAGGGAACACCGTTCAATGTCGTGGGAACAATTCGGCAAGGCTCAACTGCAACCACATACGGATTTCTCATTCTTCACTTGGTTCTACGAAGCAGCGAAACTGACGCGAGTTCATCTCAGTGAACAATGGAAACTTATCGCAGGATTTATTAGCAAAGATAAAGCCACAGAAGAGCTCCTCAAATATGAACCGGGTACATTTTTGCTACGATTTTCCGACAGTGCACTCGGTAAGTAACACATTTTCATCACCATTATCTTTGAATCTCATATGATCAATGTTTTTGTTGGCTTTGAATTTTAGGAGGCATTTCGGTTGCTTGGGTTCAACTCAATGCCTATGGAACAAAGGAAGTTAAACATATGCAACCCTTTGTTCATGCGGACTTTGAAAATAAGGAAGGTGGAAAAGAGTTTCGTTCGATTGGCGATCTTATTAAAAATCACCATAAATGTACACATTTGTATCCTGGAATGATTCCAAAGTATAAGGCATTCGCTGAATACTTCACACAGCCAAATGCAACTAAGAAAGGATACGTTCCAAAACAATGTGAGCTTAATTTATTTAGTAAAAGCGGCAAATTTGCAGGAAGAAATATTTCAAATTCTTAATTTCTTCACTCCATAGATACATTTTTAGCACCACCTGAGGAAAATGAAGTATCAAGCTCCTCTTCTCCAAGTTCCGCTTCACCAAGCGTCTCTTCACCAAGCGTCTCTTCTCCAAGCTCCCCTTCACCAAGCTCCTTTTGTCCGAGCTCCCCTTTTCCGAACCCCTCAGTTTCGAGCTTCTTCTCTCCAAATAGCACACAGAATCGGCAATCACCATCACGGTAATTACTGATCATATTTTAATTGCTACGGTTGAATGTGAATTGTGTAATAATGTTCACATGATTTTTTTTTTTCATGCATTTATAATATGAACCCCAACTATAGTTCGGATTACATAGATGACATCATTAAATACTTGGAAGAGCCAATGGACATTGATTTTTCAATAATGTTACAAACCATTACTGGCAATTAGACCATCGAAGGAAAGCTGATTTGGACACATTTCTTTGAGAAATGACGTAGAATATATAAACTTATTGCCATAACAACAAAGCAACTGCCAATAACATCTCAATTCCAACTAATTGGATCATTGAATGTTTCGGCAACTTTTTTCAATCGTGTGTAGCTTTCCTAGTATATAATCAACTTTACGGCGACACTAACAGCTTTTCTGTATAGTTTACACAGTACACACATACGAAAATCATAGTATTTTGGCAAATAGCGTAGAAAGCTGTTAGCGTCGCCGTAAAGTTAATAATATTCTAGTAAAGCCACACACACGATTGAAAAAAGTTGCCGAAACATTCAATGTGTTGGAATTGAGATGGCATTGACTATTATGTGTCAAATGACTTACATTTGAAATGTATTGTGGCACTTTCGCTATGGTAGAATATTAAATATTTTCCTAAGCGATTATTTTGTTAGCAAATATTTAGACAATTCAAACAAGATGGCTTTGTTCGTATATATAAATATATAGGAAATATTCGTTGTAAGACACCAAGACGCCGTTTACACGGGACAGCATGAACCTGCCATCACCATATTGAAAGTGAACATTGTCGTTTGCGTACACAGTGTCACACACATACACAACCATCGAAAGTGTCCGTGTACTACGACAGTTTCATGCTTTCCTTGCCTAGAGGACCGATGTCGTTTTTGACTCACCCAGAACGCGAGCTTGATTCAACTTATCGCTTATTGAATTGAATGTAATGAACTTTACCTAATACCTACTTTTGACCAATAATTTTTTCAATTTTCCTTGTTTCCGTGCAAAAATGCAAATATTCCACAAAAAATCCTTGTAATATTGGTTGCGGTATCATACTGCAGATTTACATTGTGTTAAGTAATAATATAGTTATGCCCACGATATAAATAGCACCATTGATATTTGTATGTCCATTATTCATTGTCCATTGATCACACTAACAAACAACTGTATCATGTGCTCATTTCTTGGACTTTGCATTCACGTATCAATATCAACGATAAGATTACCGGTCGATACAAAGCATAACATAACATTGCTTCTGGTTCCAAAAATGGTCAATATATCGTTTGATTAACTCTTTTTTGATCTTAAGAATAATACTCTTCTAATATTTTTACGCAAGTCAATGTCTGACATTTTGGTATTTCCGTTTTAAATGGTATTTAAATCGTGGCCGCAATCAATTTGGTAAATAGTTTTATTTTATTCCAAGCAAAAGCTATAATAAAACCTAAAACTACCTTTTATTTTGGGCAAGTATAAATGACGGCCTGAGAAGAAAAACCTTTCCTACAAAACCTGTGCGCAGAAGAACACAAACACAGAAATTTTTTAGTCAAAAGGCGAACAGCAAATTTGCGAGCGCAAAAACCTAATATATTTACAGCGAGCGCAAAAGTATAACAAGCCTACTAGCATGCTGTAGTATGTATGAGTGTGTACCCGTTGAATGCTAGTTAACGACTGTCTTTATTGTTTGCTCTTATATGATAGTTACATTGTCACAGGCATACTCCGAGCATGTATATGGAGTTGCAATACATTACATTTGGTACGGGCGTCTAACTCCATCTACGGATTTTTCCAGTAGTTGTGAATCGAGTAGATATAAAACGATTTCAACTATTTTTGGGCGAAATTATCTCGAAAATATACAAAAATGAGTTATTTGTTATACGAACGCTCAAACGGCTACCGGAAATGTACGCGCAAATACATGCACTCGAGTGTATGTTAAATTTATCATCTAGTAACCATTGCATGTCTACTGAATCAGTGCGTACATTAACAGTAGTCATTTGAGCGTTCGCATGACAAATAACTCATTTTAACATACTTTTGAGATAATTTCGCCCAAAAATAGTTGAAACCGCAACTCAATAGAACACAACTGCTGGAAAAATCCGTAGATGGAGTTAGACGTTTCAAATACGTCACGTTCTCGTTATGCGTAGAACAAACAATCAAATGCATTCTAAATTACTCTAGGGGCATTTCTCACGAAAAAAATGAATGAATTCTTATAAATTTTGAAAAATTTCTTCAATTCGGTCCGATTCGATCAATTTTTGTCAATTCGTGTAAATAAATGTACATTTACACTGAACTTTTGAATTATGCTTCAATGAAATTGTTCTGGAAGAGGGTTTTGGTGGATCTCAAGGATCATTCAGAACTGCTCCCGGTTCTGGAAGTGGATCTTCACTTCCGGAACACTTTTATTCAAGCAAATTCGTCATTTCAGTACATTTTCATACAATTTCAATAAAAAAGAAGAAATAATAGAAATTTTTGCACATTTGCTCAAACTTTTTGTGTGAGAAATCCCCCTAGAAATTACTTTAAGTCAGGAGGAATTTTTTCAGTAATTATGTTGATTTTGAAGACTTCATTCATGAGATCAAATATAGAATATCTCCTTGGATTGATATTTCAGCGCTTTTGGTTTTTTTATTCAAAAAATACTGTTCACCCGCTAGGAAAATAAGAACATCATGCTGATATAAACTTATAATGAATATTTCTTCGGAAGAGAAGATTACTTGACTTTCGAACGGAAAGATTATTTGCTTCATTCCGTTCTATGCTATGCAAATCATACACACAGAACACAGTCCATAGGCTGATACGATAGACATGCATACCATTTATTGTATTCGAGTACATACACACCTTTTCCAAAAACAAGGTCCCTCAATCGACGTTATGAAGTCCCTAATACCGCATATGTGCGTTGTTACTTTTGACCTCTAATATAATCGCCCAATATTGCTATCGGTAACACAGAGGCTGCTGCGTTTACACTAGTGTATTCCAAACACACTTACGTTGTGTATAATACGTTAGTCGTTACACACAACTCACGCAATCGAAAATGTTAGGGTTTCTTGAGAAATCCAAATTGAATAATAGGATGTTTTTCGGTGTAAATTAATTCAATTCACAGTCAAAAAACATTACGTCGTCGAAGTGATAACAATGATCTATGTATATAAATTATTATAGGTGATACCACTAGAGACTTAATAATTTTTTCATATATATATATGCATCTCTATGTATCTCTAGCTGATGAGTAATGATCACATTTTTGAGCAATGATTTCAACGCGACAATTTTTTTTATATGTTGAGATTTCAAGTGAATGATGTCAACATTTCGAACCATCTAAAAAATCGGACTGAATTGATATTTTTTATAGACACTTTCCTTCTGCAGCGAGAATCTTTGAAGCATACTATTATCAGCAGCTATGTCGTGGACCGAAAACAAGTATTTAAGTACAAATACAGCGTTGATTATTTTTCAGTATACGTATGGTTCTTGTTGTGTGTGAACGTATTTTGATCGATATTTTGTTGCCCCGATTGAATATAATTAATTAATAAATACTTCAATTGTAGCAAAACACAGTGTTGACGAATAAATTTGAGTGTGAAATATTAGGAAATTTATTTTCTCACTAGCTTCCTCGCCTCGCTTCGCTCGGCTTGGGCGCTAGTTCGGTTCCTCTTCCGTTCAGTTAGTTTTTTTTTCAATCAAGAAAGATGAATAGAAAAACTAAGCATTTCAGTGAGATGACGATACAATTTGACGTAAAAAGCAAAATTCAGTTATGAATGTTAGTCTGTATCATTTCGTATGTTCCATACTTGTTTTTTCAAAGCAAAGACGATTTTCTGGGAAAGTTGCTCCTTTTTCTGAGTTGATTTTACACGCATTTTTTCATATGTGAATTGGTGTTAAGTCGTGTTAACATGACCACAATGGACCGAGATGGTGTCCATGTTCAACTCTGTTCCAAAACCAATATTTCATTGCCATCAATCCACATTAATGTACGTTGTATCGAAAAAAAATTAAAAAAATTGTTTCTTCAAACTTTTGAAAATTTAATTCGAAAATCAAAACTGATATGTGAATCTTCTATTTAAGCCGCGAGAATTCTAACGACATATTCACCATTAAAACCAAGAATTAAAAAATCATGAAAATAAAAAAAAATAGGACAAACGCACACACACACACACAATGAGTTTTATATATATAGATAAGATAACAAATCTTGAAAAGACTTATCGTTGAAAAAAAAAATCCCATTCATCTTTTACTCGACTGTTTATTTAAATTTAGAAGAAAAAAAATGGAAAATATTAATATGAACCGTTTTTGCGACTTAATGTCCAATCTACAACTGAATAATGTGGACAGTGATGAGAGTGTTATATGCCAAATCGACAACAACATTCAATATTCACAAAACCTGACCACTGAAAATGAAGCAGCTGTAGAGGCGTTCAAAACTTTTTTTATCAAAAATTATCAGCAATTCAATCAATGCCAACAAAGAATTCAAGAATTGAACAATGTTCCAAGCACAACTAAAATTGCGGATCAAAAACGTGTTTTGATGGATGAATTAAATTTCATTCGGTCGTGTATTGAACAACAATGTGACCAAATCTTGGTGTCGATTCGACCTGTCATTAATTTGTTGAATGAAGCACAGCAAAATCTCATTGACAAACGCTTGGCCAAGTGGAAATATGATCAAATCTTGGCCGGATTCGGCGATAAAAACATAAAATCCGAACCTGATTCACACAACAAAAATCCAGAGCTTCAAAGTGCACTTGATGACATTCAGACACAATTTGAGGGATTGTATGAATGTGCTTCGAGTACGATGAGCGTGTTGGACATAATTAGAGAATGTTATGGTAAATTGAATTATGATGATGGTTGGGCAGCGAACGCATTTCATGATATTACTATTGTGCTACAAAAATTGATTCAGTCGAGTTTTATCATAGACCAACAACCACCTCAAGTTATAACTGAAGGCAAAAGGTAAAATTCGCACCTTTTGAACGAATCATATCGATTTTAAAGTAATCAACAGACATTTTTGACGACTAATCGAAACCAACTTTTGTTATTCTGTAAATGCTCAGATTTGATGCCAGTGTGCGCGTTCTTTTGCCCGAATACATTGTTATCGCCCAAAATTCACCAGAGGTTAATGTTTCGTTTTTATCGGGTGAGTTTTTACTTGTCGTCAATATTTTGAACATTTTTTTTGATAATTTCAATGATAATGTGAGTCACATTAAGTGACAAAAAAAGTGAGAACCTAACCGAAATATCGTGGATAAATGCGATAGAATGGACTTTTATCAACATTTTCCATTTCTTCAACGAATAGAATCACAAACAAGCCAACAACATCAACAACAACGCTCTGAAAATGCTAATTCGGGTAATATTAGTATGGCGAAATGCTGTTTTGAAATCAGTCCATCGAACGATCAGCGTTTAGAAT